ATTGTCTTCTTTCCTCTCTCCAGAGGATACACTGAATACCTTCTTGGCAATTTTTCCAATCACTTCAGCTGTACTCTCATGTTCATCTGGTAACGCTTCCCCGCCACCCTGTCTCAGCTCCTCTGAACTCTGTGCAACATTTTTCACTCCTCAACTTCCACCATTTCATCCCTGCTTCTGTCTTCACTCGCTCACTCCACTTGATGTTCAGTCATCTTACAGACTACGATCCAATGCTGCCTAGCTACATTCTCCCCTGACACCAACTTGCAGTCTATTTCTTTCAGACTGAACCTTCTGCAAAAGATGTAGTCCACCTGTGTACACCCTCCTCACCCTGTGTTCCTCCCTCTTTCTGAAATATGTGTTAACCACAAGCATTTCCATCCTTTTCACAAAATCCACTACCATGAAACCTGCTGAATTTCTCTCTAACACCATGCCTACCTATCACCTCCTCATCACTTCTGTTTCCTTCACTTACATGTCCACTGAAATCTGCTCATACCACCACTCTCTCCCTAGAGAGGAGACTCTTCGCCCAGCTTATCTGGAATTCCTCTTTTTTCATCTAACTGACATGGAACATATATAGGGCCTACCGATGACAACATTTAACACCACCCCTTCAATTTCCAGCTTTGAACCCACGATCTTGTCTGACACCCTCTTCACCTCCACAACACTGTTCATATATTCTTCCTTTATTTCTCTTCCGAAACCACATCCACACCATAGTATAACAGCTTGAACACACCTCCGTTGCTCCTGGCCTTGTTTCATTTCCACCTGGTCTCCTGCACACACAGTATGTCTAACTTCATTCTCTCCATCATATCAGTCAGCTGTCTCCTTTTAACAATCGTAGCTCTACATTTAAAGCCAATATTCCCACCTCCACACTCCTGATATTAATTCGCTCTCGCAGCCTCCAAACACGCCTCCCCCTCTCCCCTTCTTTTGTCTTCGGCGAACCACCGGCACCCTGTCGGTCAGCAGCACTGGAGGTGGTTGTTGTTAACCCGGGCCCCAACTGATCTGTTATGGAAATCTCATTCTTGGTGTTTGATTCGGCAAAGATTTTATCTGGGCTTGTGACCGACAATAGAAATATACTGGCTTGTGCTTCCCCCCATGGCTGGCTTATATAATTTGTATTCATTAATAGATTTGCCTATTTTATCCACTTTAGCTCAACTGTATCTTCCCACAATCAACAGGAGAGCCTCAGTGTAACTGCTGGTTATGATCAATAACACAGAGATCAAAACATCCCAACAGAGAGAGATTCGTGTGATGTGAACTGTTGCCTGCTGATACCTGCATCATTTTCCTGAGTGTTCCTCACATGATCCTTTCTGATTTGTTATAGTGTAAAAGATGCTGACATCCTTATAATGGTTTAATAGCTCTAAAACAAGAGGGTAGTTAATTCTTGTTAATTGATAAATGATTTAATATAATAATTGTGTTCATTGATTAGAAACTGAGATTATTCTCAACCATCTTATTTTATCTCAAGACTTTAACATGTGTGCAAAAACAATTGCCATTGTACCTGCAAAAATCAAAGACGTTAGCACACAGAGAAGCCAGCAATGACAGGCACTGTAAAGACTGAGCGGAAGACAGGACTTCTTATACACCGAGGGCTAAATAGGGAAACAGGTGAAAGCAACCACACATACACACATATAATGAAGGAACTAAAACAAACAGACATGAGCTAAAAAAACAAAACAAAACAGGATGCAGAACTGAAGCTCATTACTAGAAAAAAAACAAAAAGTAAAATCAAAAATTCAGAGAGGTCATTATAAATAAATAAAATAAAATATAAAACATTTGTAATAATAACAAATTTTTAAAAGGAGCCCAAATTCAAATATATTCACAAAGAATTCAAAGCAACAATCATGACTTTGCCTCCTATGTCCAATTCCATTTCTGTTATTTCCAGTTCCAAGTAAATGAGCAAAACCTAAAGTAAAATATCAGAATAATTTAGATAGAGAACACAGTGAGAGCTCAGCATCTTACTTTGACTTATTCTCAGTCAGTAGCTAACACTTTTCATACTTTTGTTACTTTTACAATATGCAATGATACAATCGCTGTGAATATGAGACTCTATTTAAGGCTCACAGCAGGCATCTTGGAAATCACACTTTAAATATGGAAAATCATGTGGCCCGTACCATAACTGCCTGACACAAATCCTGGTATGATGTAAATATGCGAAAGACTGTTAGAGGAGAAAAGGAGATACTTTCTTGGGTCTTTGTCCTTGTCCCTTTACTTTCAGGAAAAAAAAAGAAAAAAGAGGGCTTTCTTCTTAATACAGCCCAGCCTTTCAGGAGGCTATTTATAAGCCCGCGTGTCCCTCTGTTGCACAGATACACACTTTTTATGTGAAATAAATGAACACATTCTGAAAACGAACGATGTCCTGGCAGAAAGTCAAAGATGAAAAAAAAATAGGCAGGAGACGAGAAGAATATGCCTCGAGGTAAACTAGTTAGAGTAATGTCACTGGAGTATATGAAATACCTCATTTTACCTTTAATTAGGTTGTCGCTCAGGTAGTACCCTCTAAAGTATTGCTGTATACTTGACAAATGTATTTATTTGTACAATCACCAAAAGAAGCATAAACTTGGATACCTATGAATTAATTTATTTTTTCTCACTTGACAGACATCTGAATATCACTAAGATAGAAAAAGCCACTTTCAGAGCTTTTTCTATCCTAGATCTTCCCCAACAACCAGATTAGAATCACCAATTAACCTGACATGAGTCTCTTTGGACTGTGGGTTACAGCTGGGTTTTATTCTAGCCATGTTACAAATATTCACATTTTCCAAAACTAGAAACCCTTACCTTCCCAAAGAAGTCCCATACAGTCCCTATAAAAAGGTGACAAATTGAATCTAACCCTGAGTGCGTTCATAAGTTCCTAGCTACTTTAAACTCTAAATTTATATATTTTTTATTATGTTTTTGTTCTGTGCTAAACACAGACTTTCTCCTGATATTGTATTTTAAAAAATACAAGTAACGATACAAATTTGGTAACGTGGACACACCTTTTGGCTCTCAAAGGTACTTTGAAGTGCAGTAATCATCCCCCAGGTGTATACGTTGCAATGATTTTTGTGTTGTGTTGGATGTGGGATAAATGTGGCATATAAAGAAAGATGAAACTTAAAACCATTTATATTTTATCATGTTTAATACGAGAGAGCAAAAATGCAATTTGTGGTGTAGTGTAATTATTAAAGCCATAAAATAATGACTGCACTGGTTATTGGTTGGATTTTAATAAAACAGAGAAGAGAGGCCCCAGCCTGCCCTCCAATCAGCAGAGATTTATTGAGAAATGTATTATTTCTGATGAGGGTGTAATGACTGTGATAAAGCCCAGTTGCTGTCTTATTCCCCCTGGTAGGCTAAACATTTATCGGGCCCTTCCACTGTTTCCACAGTAATGGTAATGGAGAGACTCAGCAGGTCCGAATTCTCTTAGTGGTTCTATCATCGCTTGTAATGAAGTTAATAAATTGAAAATGATGATCCAAGAGTAGCTAAATAGGAAATTGGGGGAGAAAATGAGATAGGGAAAACGTGCAAAAGAGAGGGTGAAAGAATCTCACGCACTGTGGCACAAGGGCAATTTGGAGTTACTGTCAGTCTTCAAGGACATGTCAGCCTTTTGTGGTACTAATGAAATGAGCAACAGCCCAAGTCCTGATATTAGATGAGTCTTATGAGTCCAGAGGGGGCTGTGAATAATGTAACAGCACATGTATGTAATGGTTACAGTGAACTGCTTCAGTGTTTAGGAAGTCCGTGTTCACTTGATACTCAGCGTAGGAAAAATTAAGTGTAAATCTGCCAAAATTCGACTAGATTTGGGTTGTTGTTGAAAACTCTGTGGTACCTTGTGTTCTACGAATAAAAACCTGGAGGTGCTTCAGTCATAATTGACTCATCAGTCAATATATGAGAGTCATGACTCAGATTAAGTGAGTTACAGCACTTTTAACCATGTCATGTCAAGTGCTTAGAAAATGGATTTCAGACTAAATCTGAGACAGTTGCAGCTTCTCTTTTTTTTATTTTTTTTTTTTTTGGAGCAAAATTTGGCTCAGATTGGCAATCATTTTAGACCACTTTCCCTCCAGCCAATCAGAGTGCAGTGGTGAGTTGGTGAGCAGTAATCGCTGCATTTCAGCTGCAGGGTTTTGTGGGTAATTGAGGCCAGGAGGATCTGCGGAAGGAAGAAATTTATAGGAGGGGGCTTAATTCACGTTATCAGAGGCAGCAGATGTGGTGGAAGACCCAGTTTAAGACTTTCTAACACCAGGATTCAGAGATGGAGTTGCAGGCAAAAGCTTCACAAACTCTCCTGGATAGCTATTTCTCTGTAGATAATATCACACAGAAACGCACAAACACACACACCCACACTCGACAATCAGTCAGATTTCTGAAACCAAGCCCTGCTGTTTTCAGTATCTGTAAAAGATGGAGCAACATTTCTGTCTGATTCAGAAAAAATGACCCCTGACACTTGCGGAATTTTTTTTTCATAGGTCAGAAGCTGAAACTCAAAGGTAAGGTTGGCCAAGTGGTAATTAAACCATGCAAATACTCTTCAGCTTTTCACCATATCAGAGTTTCATTTTTCAGTTTTACAGTGTGGCTCATTTAAAGCCCTCCATTGCAAATCCTCCACTGTGTAGGGGATTGGATTGGAAGCACAAAGCCCTAATGTGACCTATGTTAATAGGTACTGTAAGTGAAACCAGAGTGCACAGAGTGTAATATGTGATGATCAGGAAGGACTTTTGTTTTTATTAAAAATAAAGCTATTTGTGTCATATTTGCTGTCTGGTGTTATTCTTCTTATTGGTATATTCACTTTCAGTCATTCAGTCATCGCCTTCGATATCTCCCCTCTGACCTCCACCTTTTTTCTGTGTGTCTCTCTGCAGGACCTGGGTGGAGTGAGTCCTCCTCAGAGGAACTGGAAGGGGATTGCTATCGCTCTGCTGGTCATACTGGTGGTCTGTTCCCTCATCACTATGTCTGTCATCCTCCTCACACCAGGTAACACTCAGACTTGATTGTGATGAACTGATGTTTTAGGGGGAGTTTTGTTTTTCTGCATCTACTTGCACTGACAAAATGTCTTCAGCACAGTCTACAATTTAATCATAACCGCATAATTTATGCTTATTAAGATTTAATCAACTGAGTAAAAATTATACAGCCATTTCCGACTCGCGTATTGTAATACCCATCTCACATGTTTACCTAACCTTCACAGTAAACGTTATTTATGTATCACTTTTGTTCATTGTTTTACAGTGTTTACTGTTAGCTTCTGCTGCTGTTCCTAAGAGGCAAAAAAAAATCAATTAATGCAGATTTAAGGTGTCGAAATCTGTTTAAAATTCTTTCGTTTGATTTAAAAGGCAGTGGATGAATAGTTCACCTTTTCTGGTGGTCGTTTCCTTAATATCTATCTGTAGGCCAACTTAAAGCCACATAAGTAAATATTTTCATGTATAAAATGGCTAAGATGAAACTGAAATATGAACTCATCGTTTTTTCCTTATGGCCCCCACAGGGTTGTACTACGAAGCAAGTTCGACATAGCTGGCCAGAGATAATAGGTATCACACTGGTGGTTATCAGCTTGATCTATTAATCGAGGGTTTCTGCTTCAGGCTGTTTGTACGCTCCCATAAGATGGGTCATTTGATGCACCATTTGACTCTTCTGCTGCACAAAGTAATCTGATTGAGTCCGTCTGACTTCAGTCAAAGGGATCAGGTCACGGAGGGAAAAAAAATATGCATAGTAAATTGTATCTAAATTTACAAATTACTATGTACAGTACATTTCACCACTTAACACACTTCCAAAACTGCTGTTATTCTAACATGAAAGCTGCACATGAAAGCTACATTCCTTACATGATGACCAGGGAGTGCATTTAGACCTAAACCTGTCCCATAATGAAGTGCATGAGGGGATCCATTCAGTTTATGGCCAAATAAAAGTGAAATTATTATTTTTCACTTACTAACTCAAATTTCTTTTCTGTGTAATAAATGGGGAAAATACAACCAGCAAATGAACCTGACAAGATATTTATGCTTTATCTGTACCACCAATGTAAAATGTAAAACCTGCCATAGAATTTGCACTGCTGTGACTACCTGGCTTCATTTGGTGGTATAAGTAACATATTCTTGAATAGCCTTGTGTAACATATTTCCTTCTGTACTGGTCCAAAAACATATAGTCATCAGAAAAATGAGTCATAGCAAATCAAAACTCTGAACACTACCAGCTACTGTCCAGATCCAGAGGGGTGTACGATGGGGCATGGGAAATGGCTTACTGAGCTGTTTCCACCCTAAACTCTGTATAGTGGCACTCTTTTTACCTGGCTAAATAACCATGGTAACTTATGCTGAACACATAAGCTAGTCAGGAGCAGGTTATGTTCTGATTTTCAGTTTTAACATTTTTATTTTTCATTTTAAATGATTCTTTTATTTACAGCATTTTTGAGGTACACTACAGATTCTCTGGTGGGTTTTTTATATGTTTTATGTGCAACATATTAAGCCATACCGCCTTAAAACCACTGAATGAAGCACAAACTGTCATAACAATGTGCATGTACTAATTTAGTGATGAAAATTCCCAAATGTTGTTGTACTTCTAATTTGTTGGTGAGGTACTAAAACACAGAACACACAGCAAGAATACCTGATCAATTAATAAATTCATTTTCACTTTGATCTGCCACAAACTAAAGTAATTTCCAAGTGTCCTTTGTTATTATTAGTAGTATTATTATATTTAATGGTTAGGTGAACAATAAATTAATTAATTCGAACTAAAATGTTCATTTTACCATCCTGGGCAATAAATCTATACAGATAATTAACAATTTTCTTTATAGATTTTTAATCATTATTTATCATCCTCAGCAACTGAAAATGCCTCTGACTGGAGAAGGTGAGAGGCATTATCAGTGTGTGAGCCACACAGCATGCATGAAATGACCCTTTTTGCAGTATGCGAGCGTGCATGGAGACTGAAGCAAAACCTGGATTAACACAGAAAGCTGATAACCACTGTTGTGATACCTTTGCCAACTTTGTGACAGTGAAAACTTTGGTTTAAGCCTGAACGTATCTTACTTTTCCATCAATTAAGCTTCATAGAACACCACTACACATTTGAGGTGTGTAAAAACACCCCTCTGCTCGCTATCTGAATGGAAACGCAAATGGACACTGCTTGACACTGGACATTGTGTGTTTGTGTGTGGCGGGAGTGTCCTTGCTTAGACTGCTGTTACCCAACCCAAAACCTAGAAAAGACATAGAAAACAAATGGATGACGAATGCTTAATGGAAAAAACTGAGGCAGCGTAAAACATATTCTTTGTGTGTCATCCATATTCTCTAGCGAGTATTTTACAAACTGTTTTGGGATCTCTAATTTCTAGCGGTACTACAAAACAGGTAACAATTTCACATAATTGTTGAACCTAAATAGCTTATCAAGCTCTTCTCCCATTTTCACACACTGTACACTGTATATATGTATATATCATTTTCTCAGATGTAAAATCATCACAATCCGCTGGCCATGCAGCCACTCTCTCCCCAGTGTATTCCACGGTTGGTTAGACTTTCATTGCCTCCATAAACAAACATGCTGTGTGGAGTTATCAAGGGAAGCCAATATGGCTGACATTCAAAATGACTTGGCCCTCTTATTCTGCTCACAATCAGCAGCTGTTCTATTCAGGAGAAGCTTACAATTGGCATGGTCTCTTTCTGCTAAAGGCTTAACATTTCATAATTAAAAATGAAACATTTCCAGGGTCAGCGCTGGAACAACTTAAAGATTTTCTAGCCCAGTGATGATCATGTTAATGAACGAATGAAATGCCATTGTGACAATGTGTATCTTTTTCACACACATGGATTTCTTTGTGTGTTCATGTGTAAATACCAGTATGTACATCTGGATTAACAGGACACTCAACATACTGTATTTGCTCGTCAGGCAAGTGTAAAAATCCATCCAGTTCTATTTTCTTCCTACAGTCATTGGACAAAGGAAGTAGCATCCAGGTGTCGCTAATCAGTTAGTGTGAGCACCTCTATAAAACTATATGTTTTTTTGTAATTCAATGGTCTGGAGATGTGTGTTAACACAATTTCACAACCTTTCCAAGATTGGACCAAATTTACCCCAAGGTGAGAGCTCCATCTCAAACTCTACAGGCCTCAGTTAGAAAGTGGTCAGAAGTCCACACCTCAAACCGATCGAAATACTGTGATTGTCATGATCCAGTGTTTGTGTGTTCTGGACTTATGAAAATTGTTTATTTACTGCTCTCTTGAACTCTGGGTTTTGTTTCCTAGTTTAGTTTGCTTTTTGAGGGTTAAAGCTAGAGAGACTCACTCTCTAGCTCTCTCGGGTCTGTCTGCAGTCTGTGCTATTGTTTGTAGTGTCAAGTCGTGTGTCTTAGTTGTGCCTCAGTGTGTTTCCTGTCTTATTTTGATGGTCCCTTGTCCCTGCATTATGTTCAGTTTTGCTTCCCCTATCTCATTATGTCAAGTTTGCTCCAGCTGTATTCCCAGGTGTCTCCACTTCTCCTAATCATCCTCACACGTATATACTGTGTCCATCTCCCTTTGTTTGTTATCAGAGCACCTGTTCTTCTCTGTGTCTCTCAGGTTTTGTGGTTTCCTTGTGTTTCTTAGTTTAGACTTCCTGTTTTGCTCCTTGTTCCAGTTTTATTTAAACAGAATAAACAGTTTGTTTTCAGTTTAAATCCTCATCACTCGCTACAACAGTGTGCTACCCGTGGACCACACAGTGGTGGTACCTTAAGATAGCGGTGAATTAACAAATCCCACAAAACCGCAACTAACTGAAGCAGCATTTTAGTTCCTAAACAATGATGCCACATTATTATTGCTAAAGGTGGTCCTATAAGCTACTGAATTGTGGGGTGTTTGTCATGTTGTAATGAAAGATCTGCAAAAAACTGGATAATTTTTGTTTTTTCACATCCCAATATGTTAAACCGTCAAACTACGAGAGGGTGTATTTTCTTTTCCACATGGATGCTGATGGTGAAGCAACTAATGCTGGAGTTTGATTTGAAATTGGATGCATGAAGGGTGATTTGTGTTTAATAAGCGGATAGAATTTGTAACATGTGCATTTATTTTTATTTTTACCAGAAACAAACAAATTAAATTTATGCTTTTTTGTTTTTCAGCTGACAACCAAGCTGGAAGTGACACTAAAATGACTGTGGAGGATTTGTTCAAACCCGAGTTCAAAGTCCATGACCCGGAGGCCCAGTGGATCAATGGTGAGTAATCCATATTGACTGTACCTGTTTTGACTGTTCAGAAGTTTTTAGCTACGGATGCAGGGAAGTTCCGCAACGGATAAAAGGCACTGTTTACCAGCCTCGTTTGTAATTCTAACGAGACAGAGGAAGCAGCTTTTTTTAAAAGCACAGATAAAGCTGCTACAAAGCGTTACTGCCTGCCTGTTCCATGAAATGACAAAAACAGCATAAGCGAGTCATTAGTTGAACTATATAATGACTCAGGCCCGGTGCAGTCTACTGCTTCATGCTGCTGTACATATATTTATACAATACACACTCCTACTTGACATTAATGACATCTGGTTGAGTTCTAAGTGTACTCTGTATGAAGAAACAACAGCAGTGCTTTTGTTTAGCAGCATAGGGATGACATCTCTCTGTCGTCTCTCCTGCTTTGTAATTGAGGCTCCCTTTAACAGCCGACAGACAGTTCACTTCTAAACAAGGCTGGCATGTTTCACCTCAGCCTTACCTTGCATCTGGTTATGCAAATTTAGATGTAGGGATTTATTTTCCCTCTCCTTATTTACATTGTATTGATTTGTTATTTGCCAGAAGGGGATATGTTAAGCCTGGAAGCCCTTGGCTGGAAATAAACCACATCAACTGAAGTGCAAGTGAATCTGATTATGGTTTGCTTAGAGGGAGGGAGAAGATAACGATACCTCCGAGGGAAAGGATAGACAGGATTGCGGCGTTCCCGCATTGCTCTCCGCCAGTCTCCTTTCCTTCCTGCGGATTAGTGTTTGTTTTGGCTTTCCTCTTCGCTGCCCATTGACTCAGTCTGCGCCTGAGGGCAAGGGAAAAAGGCAAGGCCTTTCTGTCCATCAATATTTCATTCCTGGGTGACATTTTTCCACTATCTTTGCAACGCCATCTCATTCCCTGAGCTGACCTCGGGCTAGACAGAGAAAGCACCAGTGTTGTGAGATGAGGCAGTCAGAAAAGTCAGCTTTATAGGGTGGTTTGTGGATGGATGGGGCAAAATAGACCCCAGACAAATGGGAGAAGATAACAGACAGACGGGCGAGAGGAAAGATTGATCACTAGGATTTGGAGCAAAAATGAGATTTTTTTTTTCTCCCTAACCCAAAAGCTTTAGTGGGTTTGCCTGAAAAGTCTTCAGTCTCTGTCTGTATTAGAGATAAATAGGTGCATCCAGTGTTTGGACAGTTACTTTTAAACCATTTTTTACTACCGATTACAGACAACATGCTTTTAAAGATCATTTTTAATGTACTTCATTACTAAATGAGCATTATGAGTAATGTTTTGGATTGCATCTACATTACCATTAAAATCTAGAATCTAGTATTCAGCAAATTACACAATAAATGTAAAAAAAAAAAATGGTGTTTATGATGCTGTGTGTTTCTATTCAGGCTCCTTTTCATGTAGTTCACTGGCGCACTGCAATTTTCACTGTTTGCTTTGTAAAATCCTGGGCGACAAAGAAACATTTGACATTATTTCTGTGTTTTTAGTCTTCAAACTTCATTTCTTTATCACAGAGAGCCTGTTATGATCATTTCCAACTCCATATTTTCATTCTTTGACTTTATTAGCATTGCTTCAGTTTCAAAGGTCGAAATTTAGTTCATCCATTCTTGAGTTCTGAAACAGGCTGTTTGAGCCTCTTCAACTTTTTTCTGATTGGCTGAATATCCCAAATCGAATATTTCCACAGTAGGTGGGTAGGCCTTCTGTGCCTGAGGTGACCACATTAGGAATGTTTCATCCAATGACATCCTACAAACTGAGGGAAATAAAATATGTCCGAAAGCATAAAAGTTTAATTGAGAGGCCTTACTGTCATTATTTAAAAATCTTAACATGTTTAATATGAACTGCCACCACTGGCACACATTAGTAGCAGGTTTGTTATGGTGATTGCTGTGCATTGAAGTTGCCAGTATGGATAACTTTGTTTTTTACAAATCTGACCACAGTTTCCATTTGGCTCACAGCGCCCGCTACATCACATCCCTTATTCTTTCCATGTCATAGACACAGATTCACTCCTTTTGAACACATCATATGGTGTAATTCCAAAGACATACAGTGTGTTTGGTATGATATCTGAACTAGCTTACAATCTGAGGATTCTGTGGAGAAAGAAAATAAGATCTCTGATGTGCTATTAACTAGTAAGATTAAGCAAATATGAAATATGTATTTTTAAACATTCTTTATATATGTCAGTGAACCAGATGTTTTATTTTATTGGGCTGGAGTCAGAACATGAAACATTTTTTTCACTCAGCCACACAATAAAACTTGCATTTGAATGATTCACTATTTAGTATTACACAAAAATGAAGCATGCTACTGATCCAATGAAGCTCCAATGTGACTGTGTTACCAAAAATAATTTTTTGTTAATAAAATTCTTATTTATGCTTACACTTCTTGTGTCAAGGCACATAAAACATAATTGACACATATGTTAACATGTCTGGATCCGTCGGCATGACCAGCTGGTTTCAGAGCTCCACAGGAAGAGAACTGATTTAATCAGTGGCACTATGCAAATAGACCAACTGTTGCAAAAGAAAGGTTCATTTTCCCAGCTCTAGCTTCCATGGTCATTACACAATGTCAGAAAAAGTGGTCAATATTTGGTAAAATGTCAGCCCAGCATAATCATGAAGAGCACGTTTGTTTTTTTTTTGGAGCCAGTGAAACATTAAGGTAAAAGAAATGGAGGCAAAATGCCTGCTTCAAAATATATGAGGTCCGTGTTGCTTAGGTTGTTTGTAAGAAGTTTGAGTGAGTAATGTATAAAGTATGTGTTAGCCTTTTCTGTTGGTCCGAACCAAATAAGCAAAACAACGACTGTGAAATTGGCAATACGAGTTAAATATGTGAGTGTACGGGCCCCTTAATTCATACTTCAGCTAACAAGTGGTGACATGAGGTTATGGATGGATGGGTTGCTACAGTCCGACATTACAACTTGATGATATGTGAAATGGAGTGCATCATTACAGATTAAATTTGCTGCTAAGAGCGCTGTGATTCATCAGGTACACCTCCACCTCTCTGGCAGTGAAGCAAGGTTTTCTCAGGATATTATTGCCTCAATTGCCTCACATTGTTGATGATGATGATCTTTGAAGACTTTGAAACATCTGTAAATCAATCATTGATAATACTACTTATAGATTGCTTATAAATAATCCAGTTATTAAGCTGGTGGATCTTTTAATATCATTTCAAATTGATGCTGTGGCTGATTTAGCCGATCAGACAGAACAATTAAACTCATAACAGGTGAACTGAGTAAAATTGTTGATTTTGTTAAAATAGCATGTTTTTTAGGAAAGTCCATAAGTCCAAGCCAGTGTCCTCCCCTAGCCAGATAAGTTCTCTACAATGCAGAATCTGTTCAGGAGAAACTCAAGGAACTTGAGTGAGAACCAGAGGAATTTAATCAGCCACCACACTCCCCAATCCGATTAAACGAGAACAAGCCGTGGCTGCCCAATCCTGCAACCGCTAGGATTCAAATGATCCACTGCCAGATTCATCAGAACACCCCTGGAGGTCCTGTGTGCATGCACCGATGGTTCAGAGCTATTTTGGCGGGACGAGGGGAACCTACACAACATTAGGCAGACGACTGGGATGTTGTGGCTGGTCGGGGTACATTAAAGCAACACATTTGCAGAATGCCATTTGTCTTCTGTGTGGTCTGACATTTCTGCAGCTCTTCTCTGAAATGCATTGTCATTCTGATGTGTCGAGGGTTGTTATTGATGAGAACCTGTCTGAGGATTACAGGGAAACAGCTGGTTAACACTGGGCAGATATGGAAAAAAATGACACTGATACTCCTCTCCAGCTGTTGCTTGTGAAGACTTGCATATGTGTGAATAGTGGATGTATATTTGTTTTTCACACTGAGGCATGTTACTGAGAAAGTCACATTCAGCTGATGCCACATGTGTTTCAGTGAGCGTCATTTTCCATCAGTATTGTCGCAAACTCCACTTGCAGGCTGGGCGCCATCAGACTGTCACTGACAATCTGCTGAGAGGAGGGTATCATATTGTGTTTGCACTGGCCCAGCTTGGACAAAATAACACACCAGTTGGCTTATATAAGCTCGCAAAACCCAAAATATTTCAGCATAATAAGAGTGTGAAATGAAACAACACATTTTTGACTGCATTTTATTTGTATATGAAGCAACATATAATATGAACAAGATATGCAGTGGAAAAATACCCCTACTGATAATGGCAATTCAACTTATTTTTACGTAGTACAAGAAAATCATGAGGTTCAGAAACAAGTAAACTATTGACTGAAGAACAAGTTAAATACACAGAGAAAAAAAAAAAAAAAAAAAAATATATATATATATATATATATGTGTGTGTGTGTGTGTGTGTGTGTGTGTGTGTGTGTGTGTGTGTGTGTGTGTGTGTGTGTGTGTATGTATATATATATATATATATATATATATATATATATATATATATCTTGCACATTTTCAAAGGGATTCAATTTGGGCTTTGTGCAGGCCAGTCAGTAACACACTTTGGTCTTCTGAAGGTAGTTCTTCACCAGGAATGATGTATAAGACTCAGTAGGACCCAGAACTAGTTTTTCTTTTCCTGATATGAACTGGCGTTAGAAATGGCACATCCTTTTTAGCTAACATTAAGGTCTTCACTATCAATATGTTTGTGTGTCCCACCTAAATATATGAATTTATTTCTACTAGCATCAGCAGATTTCCATATACACAATGACTCGGTTCATTACTCTTAGTAGAAGAGAGTAAACATTTGCAAAACACTGTTTATGTAATACTGCAAAAAACACTCCCATAGTCATATTCATGAACTCTGAAAGCAGACTGATTGAGCAACATGTACCTTCCTTGAGGATGAGTCACAAACAAAAACATTACTAGTGCAGAAAGTCCCCCACAATACTCAGTAGGAAAACATTTCACTTGGCATCAT